ACATTAATGATATTTGTCACAAAATAAGAAATATTATTAAACAGATTCAACTAATTTCCTTGGGCCTGGACACCTTTTGTGGTAAAAATCCTATTCATATTCTATAACTTCATTGGTGACGTACGTAATGATAAAAACACAAAACTTCTGTTTTAAAATATTTTAAATACAAAAGAATAATTTATTGGGATCAATTGTTTTTCGCATTATACTAGTAGGTATAGTCTGAAAAGTTTTTTTAATTTAAATGAATAAAACTCGCACAAATCTTTGATCTTACTAGGATCAAAGTTTGTAATTCGTTTTCGTTTATTACAGCTTTTAGTTTTGCAACGTCAAGGAGTTCATCCCTTAATTTTGATAAGGCCAACTGCTGTTTTTGCCGACTTAGCTTTTTGTATAAATCTTAAAAATCTAAAGACATTGTGTTTTCTTTATAAAGTTTTGAAAAACTATTTTCACATCGTATTCTTAAGTTAATTATGATGATGATTAGTAATTTTATTGCAATAATTTTTAACAATATCGTGACAAAAATATCTTAAAAATCATTTAAAAATTAGGTTAACTAGTACTTAAGTTACATAATAACGAACTTAGCCTCGATAGCGCAAAATTTACAATGATTTCATGAAAAGCTGAAAATACTCACAGCAACGTACCTACCTAATTATTAGAAAAAAGTATTCATGTCGTAAAAAAGTATTCATTCATGGGTAAGTACCCAACTTAGACATAGTTATAGTGCTCTAATTTGAACCATAAATCCAACAAAAGGCATTTATGTAAATAGTAAATGTGAACTTAAAAATTTTCGTAATTATATAAATCCACATTAAAAATTGAAGAATAGGATACATGAAATTAATAATGATTAGGTAAGATCAATAAGAATTCAATATTTTTTTTAAATGTCCAGACCTGAAAGGATTATAATGGTTGTTTCTGTTTGAAAAGGGATTGAAGTCTCAAAGGAGCAAATGGCGGTACAATGAATTCGGATTATTGCGTATTTCAAAGTTTACAGGTTATGATTTATAAATTGGGGATAATATATGTATTTCTAAAGTTGTTAACACGAAGTACTCGGTGAATTGTATTAATTATACTAATGCGGGGAAACATTATTTTAAGTAAAGTTTGAAAAGAGTATCACATTACTACATACAGGCTTCTTATGAGGAGATGAACTATAATAGTATGGTTTACAACATTGCTTTAACATATTATGTATAAAAATACTCAATATCGTTATAATACAATATCCATCACAATAAAATTTTCTTGCACAACTGATATAAATATTAGTTTGTTTGGCAATGTAACTAACCAATATATATTATCTATTTAGATTTCGAAACCCGATGCATTTAAGTTAATATTTCAATAGCTTTTTTAGTCAAAAACAGTCATATCAAGGAACTAGGAAAAAGAAATAATATATTTTAATAATAAAATAAATTATAGTTTAAAAAAAACTAAACGAAACACGCTGTATAGAAAACCGAAATAAAAATAGAAAATAATTTTCCAATTTCAAAAGAAATTATTTTAGTTCAGCGTAAACTACGTGGGATGCTTGATATTGGATGTTACAACCATTCTAGAGGCAACTATTTCTAAGAGGAACGATATGAATGTAGTCAAATGCACCCCACGCTTTTTACTCTGAATTCATTTCTTTGTAATTGAAAATAATTTATATTTTTTAGTTCGGTTGACTATAAAAGCGTGTAGTTTTTTTTAAACTATTATTAATTTTTATTTTTAGTTCAATTAATTTTAAAAAAGTAAGTCCAACCTGCAGACATGCGCAGACCGCGCACTAACTCTGTCCCTCGCACTCCACTGCAGAGGATCTATGAAAGAATTCATTAATCCTGGCGGTCTTCATAAGGAAAATGAAAAGCTGTTATCAAATTATAACATTGTCATCGGACCTTGCTACGTATGCAAAAGTATCAAATTACATTTCTGGAAAGTACTCGTAGTAAAAATTGTCCCTAACGTTTCCGTTACATATGTACAACCCAAGCTTATAATAAAAGAAAGCGCGTTAAAACAAATGTTTTTCTTAATTTTTCTATTATAAAAGATTGTAATTATATTTATTGAAATCGAAATAACTTTTTATCTCAACATTGTCGTTTCTTTATAGATTTTGATATGATTGAACGACAAAATTTGACATTTTTAAAAAATCCTGACTTCTATACCGAGGAAGTTTCATCTTAGATTTAGACAATGTTAATGATATAAAAACGTCCTTATTGAAATTATATTGTATAAAAAATAAATGTATATTTTATAATGAGTTTTTTATAAGTTCCTTTATACATATGTGTCATCGAAAGAAAAACCTATACGGTTATATTTTTCGTCATCGTTGCGAGAAGAGCTGCAAACAATTTATTTTTCAATATCAATCTTATACATACTGATGGAAAAACATAATTCAATTTAGCTGCTTTTCCCACACTCAGGATCCCAGTAACAATGGGATGTGATAGATGTTACTCAGTGAATAAAAAAATTGCGGTATTTGTATATAATTAACAAAACAACTCTTTTCATTTTTATTTAGGTTTAGATTATTATATGGTATGGATATTACTAATATGAATTAGAAAGTTCTAAAAGATTACAAGTTTTATACCTATGGTCTATTAAATTTCTCCTTGTGTTGGATGCTAATAAGATAGGCAGGTTTGTTTAGATTTTTTTTAATTAGCAATCATTTTGATAACGAAGAAGAATTTTTTGAAGTGATACTTACTAGATTCTCAATGACCTCAAACGTGACCACGTTATTTTCTTTTATAGAGGAAAACTGCTAAGAATTTGAGATCCGGTTTTGCTAAAAGGTTAATTTATATTCATTTCACCAATTTATCTTTTACATCAATGTTAATATTGTTCTAAAATGTGGTATAAAATTCAATTCGTCGCTAATCTTAAACATTGCAATAAATGTCAAATTATAAAACATGGAGATGAAAAACTGACGCAATCCCATTTAATACGATTTAATGCTTGACTTCAACTTGGCTATGTTAGAAAGGCACACTATGATCAAAATAACATTCCATTCTAATGTGTCATGATGAAAATAGAAATTTTCTCAATATGTATCTTAATCTGATCCAGTTACAAGATTTTACGTGAAGAAATTAGTAACTGAGACGAACTTTTAAAATTTTCGTATCATGATATAGCCTGTCAAACCCATCATCATTTGTACTGTAAGTAGATGTTGATTCTATTCGATATATTTGGTATGATACATACAGAACTATTAAATTTCATTAAAGCGTATGAGCTGCAATTAGAAACATATTCCAGATACAAGTAACAGATAAATGATAAAAATAATTTTTGTAAAATAATTTAAAACCTGTCTCAAGAGTTTTGTTCTGTTATAAATAAGGGTTATTAGATTTAGGATAAATATGAGAGTATAGGACTATGTGGCTACTATTCAAGAATTACTTATTAAAGTATTTACACATAATGGTTCCATCACCTAAAAAAAAATCTAGAAGTTTTTTTTATATATATACATTATTTTGATTCCAAGATCACGATGCGGTAACTAAGAAATGATGCAAAAATGAGTGAAAGAAAAGAAATAAACATACCATTCAATAGACTTATCCAACTACCCAGACTATAAAGTATTCAACTACCCAGATGAATTTCAGGGGTCCTTAAAAACCACGGATCTTCCTTCCAAGAATCTTATCTTACGGGCATAAGACCTTTAATATTACCCGATGATACCCGACAATAGATCCATCATCCACATCAACAAATAATAGAGGCCATTGTCTTAAACTAGTTGTGTTTAGGGTGAGACTAAATTTCTACTCAACATAGTATACTCTACTCAACTAAGTATAGCTAATATAACTTATCGAGTCTAGGATATATATTACTAGCTGACCCGGCAGACTTCGTACTGCCTCAATCAAGAAATAAATTATGTCTTATTTATTTTTTTGGTGTTTACCTAAAGGTAAATCTCCGTGTTCTGAAGTGCGACAAAATGATTGACATATTATTTAAATCTAATGTCAAAAAACCGTTTGTATAGGCAATAAAAAAGCGCTGTTTTTAGGGTTTTCTCGGAAATTAATAAAATTTTTGCAGCTTTTAAACCTTCCCTGAACCTCCACGAACATTTCAAGACTATGATAAGATAAATCCGTTCAGTCATTCTCGAGTTTTAGTGAGACCAAGGAACAGCAATTCATTTTTATATATATAGATATATATATTTAGGATTCTAAAAAAATCATTAAAAATATAGTTTTCTTATCAAGCTGTTAAATAACAAATAAAACGTTAACTGGACCAAACCAATTATTATCTAAACCCAATACTCATTAAATAAGTAACATTCCATTTACAAAAATACAAGTCGTGTTCACAAAATACTTTGCCGCGTCAAAGTGAACAAACCAAGCGTCATCACTTCGGATGCCTTCGGGAATATAAAGATTCGGTTCGAATAAATAGTGTTTTCCCTATTAACACTATTTAATTTATTGATGGTTATTTTTTTATAAATATGAAATTGCAATACGTCTTAAAGTAGCGTTAGGGGTCAAATAAGGATGTTGTGGGTCCAAAATTTTATCAAACTTAGAGAAAAAATAGTTTAAAAACATAACTTTTTAAATAAAGATTTGCATTTGTTTCATAATATTTGTTGCAAGAAAAAGGTTTATTTAGTTGGTTAAAGAACATAACTATTTTACAATGGATTTAGTTGTTTTTAGTGGCCCTGGATCCGATCAAGTTCGGACATCCCTGGTTTAATTAATTGAAAGTCAAAAGTTTGAAACATCTGGCAATGTAAACAGTTTAAAATCAGAACGGAAAAAGTTGGCGGGCTTTTCAAACCTAGAAGCGGGAAATTTTAAAATTTAAAATATTTATTTAAATAATTACTATTGATATAAAAAATGTTGTAAATAATAAAGTATATATAGTGTATAATGTTTGAACCTCCGGGGGATACTCCCCTGGCCGACCCTGGAGTCTATAGGCCTCCACCTCCTAAAGGACATTATTCCGGAGACGAGGTTTCGCGTAACAATAGCAGTGAAGACAACGAAAATTACTATAAACCGTATTAAAAATGGGGATACACACGTGTATGTGTGAAAGTACCTGAAGGGTGAGTACTCTGTTTTTGTTGAAAGCATAAAAGACACTACTACACTAACTGGAGAACCAGAATCCACTCGCACTTGTCAGTCTATTTAAAATAAAGTAAAGGGTGTTGAAAACATTAAGCGTCAAAGCAAATAAAGTTTCGATATATTTTGAACAAACATTAAATGCCAATTGGTTTTTAAAAAATCGCGATTTTCACCCTAAAAATGACTTATAAGCTTAGGTATATTTAAGAAGAAAAAAATTGCTCAAAGAGATGCAAGACTGTCTAGAATCTCGTTCTCACAAATTGTTAATACGCCTAAACTCATGAATTCAACAGAATTCCCCAGTTTACCTTTAACAAAACTTACAAAAGCACTAACACCGAAACCAGAAACAACACACATTAGCACAACTAAAAATATAATATTATATAATATTATGTAGAAATGACAAACCAAAAGTGCAAGAAATTAAATTAAAGTTGACCATTATAGACTTAATTAATCAAATTATTGAAAATTACTATGTCTTAAAAGGTTTAGTAGGGGCAGTGGCAACAATAATCGAAGTATAATAACATCTTTATGTAATAGAAAAAATATTAATTAAAAAACTTAAAATATGGATAAAAAATTTATTACAATTTTACAATACAATGTACAGAGTATTACTAATAAAAAACCCTTATTATATAGTTATATATTTAGTTATATTATTTAGTTATCTTCTAGAAAATGATATAGTTGCAAATGTTTATTGAAAAAACTTGAAGGATGGAAATAGATTTAGATTGTTGATAATGGCCGGGGAGGAGTTGCTATACTATTAAAAAATACATTTAAATACCAAATAGTACATATACATTTTTATGAATTCTTACAATCCGTGGCAATTGTTTTAAAACAGAATTTTGTGAATTATCGGTTCTCTGTGCTTACAGCCCTCCTCGAGGGGGTAGATTTAAGTGTAAGAGACTGAAACAAATAATTGATAAATTAATAATGCCAATGTTACGTGCAGGTGATTTAAATGCTCATCATGTAGCATTTGGACGTCGTTCCACTAACTCAAGAGGCAGTGATGTATATATTTTATTAGATTAATGTAACTTATGTATTCTTAATACAGGAGCTTACACTACTGTAGGTAATATATCCCGTAACCAGTCAGCTAAAGACATTACTTGCGTCACTCTATCTATAGCACCTTTCTGCCACTGGAGATTACATGATGACCCAATGGGCAGCGACACTATCCCACTACTTGTGGCATTTATCTAAAAGCAGAAAAATATGAAGTCAATAATTATTCCTCTGACTGTTATTTGTACAAAAAAGCAGATTGGACTTTGTTCAATTCTGAAACAAGAAAAACTTAAAAAGAATTTACTATTAACACTTTAGATCCCCTTTCATGCTATGATAAATTTATTAACATTTTAATATTTTTAATGTTATTAAAGATAAATGTATAAAAAAGCAACTCAAATAGCACAATACACCTTTAAAAAACCAGTTCCATGGTGGGACAATGAATGCACAGATGTTGTAAAGAAAAGTATAGATGCACTTAATTATTACAGACTTATGCCTAATATAGAAAATTTTATAAGATATAAAAGGTTGGATGCTATTAAGAAAAAACTACTTAGGCAAAAGAAGAAGAATAGTTGGAAAAGTTTGTGTGAGACATTTAATCGCAATACACCTGTTTGTGTTATTTGTAATTATACATATAAGGAGATTTAAACACATTCCATTTCAGAAACAGTAAAGATGACAGTTGGATGAATTAATTTTAGACAAATATGCTCCTTTAACGCCACCTGAAAGATATATATTGCAGAAACAAACTTAAATATATTTTTTAGTAATGTTGGAAATCTTATTTAGCTGTCTTTTTATGGAATTCTTTTTCTATTCATGAATTTAGTTTGGCTATCAAGTCTAGAAGGGATACAACCCTTGAACTTGATGACATACCATATAAATTAATAAGAGAGATGAACACTTATGCTCAAAATATTTTATTAAAATTTTTTAAGTTCCTCTTTGAAACACAAAATATACCAATTACTTGGAAAACTCAGTGTGTAGTTCCAATACTTAAGCCTAACAAGCCAGGAAACAGTTTTGATTCTTATAAACCTATATCTTTATCTTCTTGCATAGGCAAAATGTTTGAATTTATGCTTAAAACTAGGTAAGACTTTTATGTAGAAAGAAACAAGATTTTACCTCCTGAGCAGTTTGGGTTCCATAGGGGCAGAAGTGCTTCTAAAAATTTTATATCTCTTATCAGTGACATCAAGAATAGTTTCTATAATCACTCAGCAACAGTATGTGCTTTTCTTGATGTCAAAGGCGCTTTTGATAATTTCAGCCCTGTTGTCCTTGTGCAAATACTCTGTGATATTGGAGTCCCGAGTAGTCTGTGAATGGATATTTAAATTTTTACATGAAAGAACTATGTACATAAAATATAATAACAATCTTCATGGACCTACAACTATATACAAAGGAACAATGCAGGGAGCTACTATCTCTTCTCTATTGTATAATATCTACACTTGTCAAATTAAGAAATACTTAAAAGCAGATAATGTTAACTTCCTTAAGGTTGCAGATGATCTAGCTATATAGAGTGTAAATAAAAATGTGAATATTGCTGTTAATAATTTAAACTATGCTTTACATAATGTATATAAAATCTATAACAATAAACTCAATAATATTACAATTTATTCAATATTTCAAGCAATTGTTTTCTGGATTTTCACCCAAACTACTAAGAATTTGTGTATTTATAAAATCTGTTTTTGTTAATATGAACATAACCGAGTTATGGCAAAGGTATAGCTCAAGTTTTAGTGCCTTAATTCCCTCAGTAAATATTAATAATAATAACATACTTACTCCGTCAGATCTCCTTAAATTTATTGATGACAATAATGGTGTGTACAGAATTTACAGTGATGGGTCTAAGAGCTCATATGGTGTAACATCAGCACTTTACAATCCTCAACTGAAAATTTCAAAATATTTTCAAATTAATCATAATTGTACAATTAACACAGCTGAATGTTTTGAACGCTGTAGAACATGCATGTAATGTTAATAAATTTCATATAATTATATTTATTAACTGATTCTCAAAGTGCACTTCTCGGTTTGGAAAATACTTATCTGAAATATAACACTAGATATATTCTATATGAAATTAAAAAAATGTTATATGATATGCACATTCATGGTAAAGTAGTATAATTTCAATGGGTACCTTGGCATAATGGTATAACTGGAAATGAATTGGCTGATCAGGCCACTAGAGGACGCGCCGATAAAAACCACAGCAACTCAATGAAGACACCATTTACTGACTTTTGACTACACATTCACCATGGCCCTGAAATCATTATACAAAGAGTACTTTAAGACTGTAAGCAAAGAGAAAGGAGCATGGTACGCAGACATACAGAAAGCCTCGCCCGCCCAACCTTGGTATAACAAATTAAAGCAGTATAACAGGAAACTTATAGTTACAATCAACAGACTGAGGCTCGGCCACTGCCGAACGCCCAGTCATTTATATAATCTACAATTGGTACAAAGTCCTACTTGCCCAGAATGCCAACATAATTTTGCAGATCTGCAGCATATTTTTTTTTAATGTCCAGCATATCGAATACAAAGACTGATACTTGTGTGTGAACTTGACCTCGTCTCCAAAGGTGTGCCCGTGTCACAAATTCTTCAGACACTGCTGTAAACGGAGAAATATTTTTACGGTTTTACCCGTTATTTAAATTTATTACGGATACTGTTTAAAGTTTATAATACGTAAATAATACAAAGTGATTTAAAAACTGTGACAAACAATAACGGATTTTCAGTGTGCTTTTCAAATGAACTGTCATACATAGACAATGACAATTCGTAACGATAAGGCTCAAAAGGATTCGTATCCAGATCTTTAAAAACATTTACAAAAAAAATCATAACGCAATTATTTAATTAAACTTTACAAAATAAAAGTGGATGAAACTCTAGGCCATCGTTTTCTATGCAACGTCACACAAAAATAACAGTCTCATAATTATGAATAATCATAAATTACCATAGTTCTATGCTTATATAAATTATTTATTAAACTATTCGTATCTTTAATCTCTCCTCCGTATAAAATTTAAAGTTACCCAAAAGTACATATACATATTCTTTATTATCCCCTCTGTGGCTTTAATTGCCAACGTGATTAACTTTAATTAACGACAAGTAAAAATTACTCGTAATTTTGATTATTATAGTCATAAAAACATACCATAACTTATTGATAACAATACATACACTAAATCCATAATAATACTTCTGTAAGGTACTAATAGTAACAAAAATTCCAGATATAACTTAATAATATTTTCCTATTAATTGTAATTGTATCCTTATAACTTGATAATATAATTATTCAATTTAATGAATTTTCTAATTAATAGAAATTTATTGAATGTAAAATACTAAGATAAACAAAAAAGCATTTGAACAAGACAAAAGAGAAGAGAGACACATAGTGATTGATTTTCTTTCCTGCATTATAGCCCAGTCGATTGCAGTAAACGCAGTGCATAAAGGTATTCTTGTTAATGCTCACATTATTTTAAGGTTATTCAAAAACATTATCCTACTTTCAGCCCCATTTTTCTTTCGCTTCGAAACGTAATGCAGCATGGGCCTTAGAAAAAGACAATCGTAGCTTTGTCATCGTATGGTAAAGGATATAGTTTGTATTGAACCTCCAACTGAAAGTCCTAAAGATGCAGCTTATCTTACGAGTACCAAACGTTCAGTTGGTTTAAATAAACCTCGTCTGCGCTGTAAATTTTGACAGTTTTGCAAATATTTATTTAATAGAATATCATAATAGAAAATTAAGTAGAGAACTAAATACGGATGATGTTAAAATAAAATTGTAAATAGGTATTCGTAACGGTATAAATATTGAATTATTGATCATTTGAGCTTTAAAATACAACCTACACAACAATATTTAATAACTAGCTTTTGCCTAGTGACTTCCGGTAATAGTTCCGGTAATAGTGACTTCCGGCAGATTTTTGGTTCTTCCCACATAGTTCCCGTTCTTGCGGGGTTTTCGGAATGGTCGAGTTCCCGTAGAATTTTCAGGGTAAATAGGTTTTTTTTTATTCACAATGAAGTACTTTTAACCAACAACATATTTATTTGTTTATTTGAATAAAGATTATTATGTTGATACAACTTAAACAAATTATTTCGACCAAATTAGGTACCATAAAAACGGTTTTTGTGACTTAATCTTAAAAGATAGACATATACTGTCGCGGACTGTTTTTTAGATCATTAAAAGAGCTAATATTCTTTAATACATATTTTTGTGTATCTTGAACCGTTTTCACGGCGCACGCAACTGAAGGCTTCAAAGATGAAATAATTTCTCCCGTTTTTTACACATTTACCACTATATCTTTGCTCCGTGATGTAATATAGCCCACAGCCTTCCTCGATAACTGGACTATCCAACACAAAAAGAATTACTCAATTCGAACCAGTAGTTTCGGAGATTAGCGCTTTCAAACAAACAAACAAACTCTTCAGCTTTATAATATTAGTATAGATACACGTTAATAAAATTAAAGTTTTCATGATTTTTATGGCCTTTTTCAAACTTAATTGTTTTAAGTATTGTTTTATTTTTAAATCGCCATAAGTTTGAATTTTTAGTTTGAATTTTTAAATGAGATCTCATATAATAAGTAATATAAAATCTTTAAATATTTAAAACTAATATGATTGTGTCTTTAGCCCAATTATTGCAAAGTTGTCAAATGTATCAATAACATTACATTATAACAAATAAAAATAATAGAACTTGTAAATTATCTACTTAATATAAGTACGAGTGTGTTAATAATAGACCCAAAATTATATTAATAATATGTATGTAGAAGACCCGACGAACTTCGTATCGCCCTATAATCAAGAAATATCTGTTACGTTTTTTTATTTATATTTTTGGAGTTTACCTATTAAAGCCATAAATCTCCGTGTTTTGAAGTGCGACAGAATGATTGACATATTAGTTAGTTGTCTAATCTAATGTAAAAAAAAACGCTTGTATCAGCAACTACTAATAAATTAAAAATTAATTAAAAAAACATTGACCAGCGGACAAAATTGTGAATCTAAACCATTCCCAGATCCCCTTGAACGCACACAAAAAATTTCATCAAAATCGGTCCATTCGT